TATATGAACTCGTACATTATAAACATTTCCGCGCTCGGAACGCTTCCAGAGCAATAGGGTGAGGCCAGACGAGCGTTATCTTTTGAGTCGTTGTGGGTGAGCGGTAGGGACACTGGCTTTATTTCAGAATTTGTTTTTTTACAAACGAAATAATAGCCATTTGGAAAATGTATATCGTACACTATACGTGTACTATTTAGTTCAGTAGATATTAAAAAAAAATTGGTATATGTAAAGTATATATGACACAAACAAACGCTTAAAAGCAACTGAATTTCGGTTGAATGTAAACTACGAGACTCTAAAAGAAAAACGCGACTCACAACTCACAAAATTGCGCTTGTCTGGCTTCACTGTTATCAACAACAAAAGGGTGTCCTTACCAAATATAAACAACACGACCAAGCAACAAAGAAGCATACCGCCCTTCACCGTGAAGTCCCATTTGGTCTGGAAGGCAAACAGCGTTAATGCTAGGCATATAGCAGCTGTTATTCCTACTGCCATGTATAACTGCAAAGAGAAAATTCTTCTAGGTTTTTGGTATAGTGAATAAAAACAAATTTGAAGAGTAATGTCATTGACTTACAAATAAATGGACGACGGGTCTAATACAAAAACCACGAAAAAAATGTCCCAAGTCAACCTATTCGAAATTTAAATTGTAATATATATGTATGTCATCGCAGTATCGCGCTGTCAGTAGAACAAATGAAGACTATAGCGGAGTTTGGCGCTCTGTATACGATTTTAGCGCCTTACAAGTGCGGACACTTTTTAGCGCGGACCCGACGTCCATATAATTGTAAGTCAATGAGTAAATGTTGTTATTTTCTTTAAATTTATTTAAGAAGTACCATATAAAAAAATTATAATTCTTAGGATTAAAACTTAGGTGCCTCTACACTAAAGGAACATGACATGAATCAATGGTAAATGTATACAATAAAATATTTAAATATTATGACGAAAAAAAAAGAAAATTAATTGAATCTATGTGTGTATACATGTAAATCTACACATCCTTATATGCATTTTAGTTTACAGTATATAAGTATAGCGTCTACTTAAAAGTAAACCCACACAAGTGATATTTTGCACAAAAAATCTCCAAATTATGTACAAAGTTGTAAAAATATCACCATCTTTCTGCAGATAAAACTCTTATCTTTTTTGCTTTATAGCTTTTTTGTTATTGAGTTTCACCTGCAGAACGATAGTGGTTTTCTTACCATAGCTTTACAAATGAAAGACTTTTAGTGGAAAATGTCACTTATGTGGTTTTACCTTTAAACAGACGATATGTAGATTTACATGTATACACACATAGAGTCAAATAATTTTCCTTTTTTTTTGTTATAATATTTAAATATATTATCTTATTGTTACATAGGCCTCACTCAAAGAACCCCATACCGACCGGTCTAGAGCTGCTTGCGTCCAGCGGATTTCCGCAACCTATGCTGTCATCGTTGTCCGGTAAGTACAAAGGCGCGGTCGCCACTCGCGAACTCACACTATAACACAATGTGCGCTGTCCACTGACAGTTATGCTCTGGCTACACAGAAGCGGCCGCGGAAGCGGCGGCCGCGCGTTGTCCGCGCGTTTCAGTGTGGCTGGGTTCTATAAACTCGTGCATGCAAAAATTCTCGCGTCCGCAACGCTGTCGTGGCCGCCTCTGTGTGGCCTCAGCATTAGTTTTGCAATTCTCTGAGTATGTCGGTTACTTTGGTTTTTTTTTGCTGATGTAATCATTATTAATTCGATCTCGCAGTGAATTTCCATTCCATTTGCCATTTCCATTGCCGTTTGTGTGAGTTTGTGCGTGTGTGCGTGGTGGTATGGACGATGCGGTACTATTGTGGACCTTCCTTAGTATGCCATGTACTGCTTAGGACTGCTTGTGCGGTACGACTCAAACGATGGCCCACCTTATGTCGTGCCCCGCGTGCCCTAACACTTGCACGCTTGAGGATTTAATGGCAGCTACTAGTGACGCGGTCGACGTGGCTGAGTTCTGGTGCACAACAGTATAATGTATGTCATCGATACGATAAGAAGAAGAAGTACGCCATGATTATCGAACGAGTGATACTTTCGTATCATTTGTGCATTCAGTTTCGTGGTATGGCCGTTTCGTCAGGTTTTTGGTCATATTTTATGATTAGTGGTGTTTACTTGATGCAACACAGTTCTCGATTCTGATTCATTTAGGAAACAATGGGATGATAATTCTTAAGACCTTAGAAAATGCTATAAAAATATTCTATAATGTTACGTATTAATAAAGGATTTAATTATTATATTCTGGTATTATTATGTCACAACTTCTTATAATCGTATACAAGTATTTGTATACTTGAAAATTCATTATTCTAAATACGTGCTACGTCCGCGTCTTCGATTTAATCAATCGCTTTAGTGCCGAAGGAGGTTTATCCCATCACTAAATAGAGTTTGTGGCGCGATCGGAGGTACAAAAATGTGGCACGCTTGGTTTCGTACAGATCGCGGTACTTGCGGTGTCTATTTAGACATAAGGTCTTACTCAGAGTGGCGGCCGGCGTGGGTGCCAGCGCGAATGCGTGTAAATCAAAATGTACGTAGACGTCCGTTGCGTTCAGTTGTTTTTAAAATTCTTTATTTAAGTAAGTAAGTTACATATGTAAACACTAAATTACAAATTACAACATCAAATTTTAAACACTTTATGAGGCTATATACACCTATCAAAGTTTAAACACGTCTTTACAAATATTTCTTGTTACGTCATAAATGCTTAAGTACGGCAATTACAAGACGTAATCGTAAAACTAGGATAGTAGTGTGAATCATTGTAATTGATCACTTATAACCTATTAATTCTTTTCATATTTTGATTTATTATAATTTAATACAAACAAATATAAGGTAGAGTGCAAATAAAATTATTTGCCGAGCTCAGCGATCGAATTACGACCAGTTGCGTTGCGTTCAGTGACCGCGCCCGCTCGGTGCCGCGCGGGACCGACCGAGGCCGGCGGGGGCCGATATTGGCTCGGTCCGCCCGTACCTTTCACAGTGCTTAAGTCTAGCGTCTAGCGTCTAGCGTCTATTTGCGATTTCGACGTGTGGATTTACCTGCTCGTAGCCGCTTCGGCACTGTGAAAGGAGAGACGCCAAGAACCGCGCACCCACACCCGCCGCCGCGCCCGCGCCTGCACTCTGGATGAACCCTATCTCTGTGGTCGTCACTTTTACTTAATATGTATGTATAATTTGGAACTGAATAAATTGAACTCACTGAAGGCACAGGTACTTACAGTATGGGTGTTGTACTTGCTTGTTATGATTCCTAGCATGACACTCGCGGCGATAGTAAAAATAAAGAGAAATATGAAGTTGCATGGCACTTGGCGTCGCAACGATGTGCAGCAAGACAGAGCTACAACGGTAAATGTTTGGGTTCCGACGGCTACCCAGCTGTGAAAACAATAGGTACAAACGTTATAAATAAGTGCCCTGGACACTGTAGTCTGGTTTCAAACTAGTCCGTGTGTAACACTTACAAAATCCATGGATATTTAGCAACAAATACTTGTACGTCATGGACGTAAATGAACGCCGAGATTATTCCTGCCGTCACCAGTAATTGTACCATCAGAATTGAATACACCTAAAAATAAACTATAATAAATATTATTTAGATATATTATGCAGTGTTATTTGTAAAATAGGAATAACAACCTCCCAGGACTATATTACAAACAGCACAAACAACAACAACTTTTGTTCCATGACGTTTTACAAATTGTTATAATTTTACCAAAAAGAAACTTTTAAGTTTTTGTTGTACTCATTGAGTATATAACCAGAAATAGAGACGAAATAAGGGCCATGTATTCCTGGTAATTCATCAGTCATACATAACTTATAAATGAAATTAAAAATTAGAAATCTGAAATAGTAAAGCGCCAACAACTGACTTCTGTGTACGTCTCCGTATATTCCAAAAAATATTCTGTATTTATTGTAATGAAGATAATATCACTAACAATGGCGTGCTATTCCATTCGGTGGTGTGGTGAAAAACAGCAAAACATCTAATTACAAAACAAACGTAATCAAATTTCATCGGTAATTAAATATTAAATATGTAATAAAGATCAAGTTATCTGGTTGATTTGAAGTGAAACAATTGACGATACCCATTGATGACACCCGTCAATTGTTTCGAATTCGGGTTGGCCAATCGGAGCGCCGTTGTCACAGTAGTTATATCGCAGAATAGTTTTCAAACAAATTATATTCCATTTCGTCTCTATTTCTGGTTATATACTCGATGGTTGTACTATATGATACTTTTTAGACCTGTATTTGGCAGTAAGTTGAAACGTGCAAGTGTCCTCCCCGACGAATATTACCTTCTTACCGCAAAGAGTTTTTTTTTTATATAATAACGCACACACTCGACATAGCCCCGCACTAGGGAAACCCTGTGTCGCGGGTGCCATGGGCACATATAGACAACCACAAATTACACCCAAACTCACGAGAGAAATAAATGTAGGCCATACAAATATTTCTCCCAGCCCGGGAATTGAACCTGGGACCTCTGCGTGGCAGTCCGGCATGGTAACCGTTCGGCCACAGAGGCAGTTCAGTTATCACCGTTTAGAGTTTTTTTATTGCTTGGCCTTATTCCCATTTATTTGGGGTCGGCCCTTCTGATTTCTCTTCTTCAAGACGGTTTCTCCTGAGTCGTGTGTAGTTTTAACTGAAGCTCTCGCTGATCTGTATTAATAAGGGATATCCATGTGAGGCAGGGTCTACCATGCCCCTTGGACTGACAACTCATTTCAAGCACTTTCCTTGTCATATGATTAGGCGGTCGTCGCATAACATGTCCGTACTACCTAAGTCGGGTCTCTAGAACCTTTTCCGGGATAGGTCTCACTTTAAAACTGCCTCTGATGTGGACGTTTTTGACGTGGTCTAATCAATGTAACGCCGCCCGTCCATTTTTGCATTTTCATTTCCGCGCTGTGTATTCCATTTTCTTGCAGCTTTTTGATATAATAGATATAATCACCGTTTAGAGTGATCTATTTAAATCGTACGAAAGTAATACAATGTGTTGATTTGCATTCTCGCCATATTTACAGAGGTCATACTATATAAGAAACTGAACTAAAATGACTAAAAAAAAAATCGAAAAAGAAATTCGTAAATTCCTATTTTTTATTTAATTGTGGTAAACAAATTTAATCAATGACTTGCACACACGGCATCGGCACTTGCAAACATTTTGAACAATGACCTTAAATGCGCAGAAAGAAACGCATTTTAGATCTATTTGGTGGTGGGGCCGGGTAGCGACGCGGCGGGGTAGTGTTGTATCGAGCGCGCAATTGGTAGATCAGTCGACCTTGCTTCCCATACTGACTGCGTCTACGTCACGCTGACATCCCGCATTCTATTCTAGTCAGGGGGTCTACTCTCGATCTCCGTCGGACATACGTCCGAAACAATTACTGCCAAATAAGCAATACTTGACCAAATGAAAAGACGCGTGATGCGAATGAAGCTTCATACTGGATACTTGTCTTTTAATTTTGTCGAATATTACTTATTTGACAGGAACTGTTTCGGACGGATGTCGGACGGAGATCTAGAGTTAAATGCCACGTGGTTTAGTATGTAAACAAGAGTTAGTACTTCAAAAAAAGAGTTAGTAGCACAAGTGAGTGTCTATTCTTATGGCATGATGTGAAACGTTTAGTTTACGGGAGGATACGAGTGTCGTAGTTTCTGCTTTCAAAGTTGTGGAGTCTAATGTTGAAACGAAAATCACGTGTAAATCTCTGTAGAGCTGGTGGTGGCTCCGGTACGGAGCCAGCTACCAGCTGTGGAGCTAGGTACTTCTAGCAATACTTTCATATAACCTAAAATTGGCACCAAAGTACCAAATCTAAGTTACAAAAAACTTTTTTCAGTTAACTTTAAAATAAACTTTTTTTAAAATTATAACAATACTAGTACATAATCATAATTTAAAAAATAGGTAAATAAGCGATCGAGAAAGATTACGTATCGCTCGGTGAAGCGGGTGGCGGGGCCACTGCCCTTGCGTGGTACATATGACTTCGAGATAATTTTGACATTTTAGATACAATTAGCCAGAATATTGAACAGAATAATTTTTTTAATATTTTCAGATGATTTAGCATTATTTTTATTAGTAATCTCTTAAATATGGCGAGAATGCAAATCAACACACTGTATATGGATGAATTATTAAGTCATGGAAGATAATATGTTGTTGTTTATGATATTATTAGGGATATCTGCGTATTTGTCAACTCTCATCCTCAATATTTTAAAACACGCGTGAAGTCATTCAAAGGCAAACTAGAGCAAAAATTATGTATCTCTTATACCAACCTCGTTGCCATAAAGTAATTTATAAGAATAACTGCTTCAACATGTGTATAATTATTTACAATAAATTACCAAACGAAATTAAATTGTTACTAGGACATACTTTTAAATTAAAATTGACAAAATGGCTTTTGACACATTGCTTCTATAGTAATAAAGAATACTTAGAATTAACAAATTCATTACATTAATTATAAACTATACAGACTACAGAAACATTGAATCCCATTAATATTTGCACATTTGCTTGCAGGTTGAAGACAATGTACCTAATTTTACTTAAGACCTTTGTAATTACTGTATTCTGGCAAATAAACGTATTCTATTCTATTAATAATACAGTTCTGGGAGGTTGCTAGTTTTACAAATAACCCTTAATGGCGACTATACAATACCGGGCTTCTTTAGGCAATCTGTAAATCGCGTCGTGTCAAAGAACAATAAATACAGTAGAAGTGGTTAGATAGCGTCTGACGCGTGCTAACATTAATAGGTCTCGAAAGACCTACTTGAGCGCAGTCCGCCATTGTCGCTTTGTATGGTATGGTTGTGTAATTCTTTCGCGCACTCTCTAAAATCGCAGAAAAATGCTTTTTAAAACAGTTGCTCAAAACGTGGTATTTTTCGCACTACAAATCGTGCGGAAAGTTGAATTTCTCGCACTAGTGCTTTTTACTTTTCCAGTTTTTTTTAAATTTACTATTGTTTTAAGTCTTAAACATAGAACTAAAGAGATTGTATATTTATTTCATATTTATGTGCTTTGTGGCGTAAGTCATTCGTCATTACTATACTATATCTATGGAGAGACCGCATTTTTACACCTATGAAGTAAATGCTCCTTAGTAGCGATATGTAGAAAATTAAGTAATATAAAATAGTAATTTTAATGTGGCTGAATACTGGCAACAGTTGCCATATTGAAAAAAGTCGGCCAAAAAAAGTACTAATTTTTTTCATCGTTTACATTCCCGCCTTTTTCATTAACTTTTTTACGATTTGATTTTGTTATTGACTACTTTAGTAGTCAAAATTGAAAGAATTGACAATATTATTTATGCAAAAAATGAGTGATTCCGACGAGTGTATTGTAGATTTAACACCACCAGATATACGTGCAAGGCAAAGACCTCAAAGTACAGTGTTACTCTTAATAATTGTTCAAATTGTACTCTGAATTTTTATCAAACAAACGAATAAAATGAGGTTTTTTTTTAAATACTGTTTTATTTTACTTTCAATGTAGGTTTTTCGCAAATGTATTAAAAAACGTTGTTTGATACACATGCGGATTTGTCATTTTCACTTGTCTCGAGTCTCGAGACTCGTGAATAATGACTAACTTTCCGCACTTGTATCAAAAATAACTATTATTGTGCTGTTTTGGAATGCAAAAATGATAGCTGCACCAAAAATGTTACCCGTAGCAGTATTTCATAACATGTCTGTCTTGTTTTAAAAAAATTTAAATTTTCTGTTTATCGAATTGATTCAGAATTGATAACCGTTCGTCGTAGTCCAGCTACTGCTCGCAAGATGGCAGCATGTTAAATGAAATTTCAATATAAAATCAAAACATCGTAACTCGCAATAAAGATATTGAACTTTCAACGATATAGCGACTGGCTAAAGTTCAAATTATATTAACAATATATCGAGGCTTTGGCACTTCCACAGTAAGTTTTGAGGTAAATTTTGACTTTAAAAAATGAAACAATAATACTGGCAGTCATTTATCTATAACAAACCACCGTGGTTGTTGTCACAGTGAGTGAAGATGATTGAAGAAACTATAACAGATTTAGTTTAATTACTTTACGTATGAACGCTCTCCGTTCATATGGATCTTCGAGTAAATAGGTCTGTGTGTAGTTATCTTGCCAAGGTATGTACCAGGGTTTTGGTCCTCTAGGGTATTGTGATCCACCCGGGGGTCCATATCCTGCGTACCCAGCAGATGGGTATGGTGAATACTGTGGGGAATTTGGATACATTCCAACGGAGTGCTCTTCGTTCACTGGAGATGATCGGTAACCACCAGGGTATCCTCCCTATAATTTTAGAGATAAATGTAAGCCAGCATTTCGTACCTTTGGTAAAATGTAATATGTTAAATACTCATACTCCTTTTATTACATGAAATTCATGAAAATAACACGAACCACAATAAGATTCGATACTGCTTCAGCTTGATATTAAAATTTTTCCCGTACTGTATCGATTCTACTGTGCGGGTCGAGCAGCAGGTACACTGGCTTCATTTCAGAATTTCTTTTTTTACGAACGATATTAAAGCCATTTCAAAAACGTATATCGTATACTATACATGTTTTCCTTATTTCAGTTGATATACTCGTATATAAAGCGATTTCCTTGTAAAATTTCGAGGTAAGTTTGTGTTTTTTTTCCATCGTGAAATTGTTTAGGAATCGTGTTTTCACACCGTATAGTAATCAGTGTATATATCCTTAATTTTACTATATATTTTTCCAAAGTGATTCATTCAATACTTTCGCTGTTATGCGGAATCACATAAGTGACATTTTCCACAAAAAGTCTTTATTTACATGGATATGGTAAGGAAATCACTATCTTTCTGCAGGTGGAACTCAATAACAAAAAAGCTATAAACTCAATAAGAGTTTTATCTGCAGAAAGATGATGATTTTCTTACAACAGCTACGTAATTTGGAGATTTTTCGTGGAAAATGTCACTTATGTGGTTTTGCCTTTAAGCAGACGATATGAGGTTGTATTGACTCTTAAACAAATTATGTTACGATTGCATAAATTTCCTATTAAACATATCCGCGCGAGCATTGTGCTATTGCCGATTGATGCGCTGTGGCAGATGTTTTTGTCGTACATTAATGCAAACGTTTATAAACGTTTATTCTACACAATTTAACAAATAATCGTCAAGTTGTCAACTCGCATAGGCTTCGATCGGACACGTTCCATTAAACAAGTTTTGCGGTGAATTTACCGATTTGCAAAATGTGTGAAATTCCTGAGGTGTACATCATTTGCTCATGGAATGTGTTCGGACAGAACCTATCCGGACGGGGATGTTTGCACAGGCTGGTTTCCGTTTAATTAACCTGTGAAATGTCGATACTGTATGTCGCTAGAGATTAAATATTTTGATATGTTATAGACCAATGACGTCACTATTAAGATTATTATGGCCAAATAGCGTTCGCTTGCGTTCTTCGGTGAAATAAAAGAAATTAAACGTCGTAGCAGTACGTTGTTCTATATCAATAACATGTTTAGGGCGGCATATTACTTAGCTCGCGCGAATTTGTTAAGCATAAAAAAGATATAGACTATTTCGTTCCTTGAATTTTTAAATCTTTCTCCTGAAAAGAGTTATGACTGTGCAGATGTGGCCTTCAGTTTAATAATCAATTTCGTTATTATTGATACAAAGACCGAACAAACATAGAAAAATGTCTTCCATCTGACTGTACTCGGTCTGTAGCGCAGTTGGAAGAGAGGTTAGGCGAACAGACATTGCCCAACATACAAAGTGGTGATGACAACGAATATTTTCAGAGCCTTAAGTCCTATAATTAATGTTCGCAAAAAGGTGTTCCGACCATTGATTATAGGTGGTGTACCCTAGAGTTTCTTGCTCGTTCTTCTCAGGGAGGTCAGCGTAGTGAACGAGCAGTAGATTAAATGTAGCTTAAATGTGACGTTTTCAAGTGTAAATTTATTTTACCTATGGAATAAATAATCTTTGACTTTGACTTTGACTTTGACTTTGTGATATAGCTACAAGAAGCGACATGGAGTTGTTAAAACCACCAAATATTAATCAATAACTTTTTCGAATTCCGGATTTCCGGAAATGGTTTTTTTTTACCATTAAGCATACCATTCTTATAACTCTCAAAGTCATAGTGATATGAAGTTACGATGCCCAGGTTCAGGTGCTATTTTCAAAGGCCAAATACACATATCACAAGCCAGTAACAAATGAAAAATTACTTGGGCCATGCCATTGACTTACAATTATTTGGACGTCGGGTCCGCGCTAAAAAGTGTCCGAACTTATAGGGCGTTAAAATTTATACAGAGCGTCATTCACGCTTTAGTCTTCGTTTGTTCGACTGGCAGCGAAGCAAGCAAAATTAGACAGTACTGCGATGACATTACAATTTAAATTCAACGTTTTAGCTTTTTCATATTCCTTTACATGTCACTACGTTTAAATAGGTTGACTTGGGACATTTTTTTCGTGGTTTTTGTATTAGACCCGTCGTCCATTTATTTGTAAGTCAATGGGCCATGCGGATATTTCGTCGCCTTCCTTTCTCAAACACGTATTTTAAAACACAAAGTTACTGGAATGCAAAAAATGGATCGTGTGTACAAATTTTGCACGCTAATTTCACGTCACATTTTCTTCATATTCACACACTGGCTATGCATTCAAATTAACACCCCTGATAAGATAATAGATAATTTAATATAAATAAAAAGTTTTCCAGCTCCTGAATGATCACTCTTTATGAGATACGAGTTTGAGAACGTAAGGCATCGATTTGTAACCTCTGTTTACTTTTTACCAATTTGTAAATAGAGCTGTTATAATAGCAAATGTTAAGAGCAAATCGTCGGAATAACGCACCTTAATATAATAAGTATTTGTTCTGCATTCGCTAAGGTTTTCTCGTATTCCAAAAAAAAAACTTGTATTAATCGTCCAGAGTCATCAAAAGTCCAGGTTGAAATTTGGACAGAAATAGACAAGGTAGAAGAGAGGTAAATTTTTAATGTACCGGCTTCCGTCCTCTTTTTTAGAAAGAAGTTCAGATTTTATTATATAACTCTGATAGAGAGATAATCGGACAATTAGGAAAAAATGTAAAATGTCGTTAGAAAGAATGTTTGTGATAAAACGATAACTCAATCAATATTGTAGTGAAACAAACACAACTGACAAATGATTAAGGATTTCACGTGAACATTTAATTAATATTATCGAGACTTTTTCGTATCCTGAAAACTTTACACAGCTCTTATTGAAATACTGAAGACTTAAACTGAAGGATCTTACACTGAAGGCTTAAATCGTAACACATTTACTGAAGAAAAAGTAACCCTGTAACTTCGTGCAGACCACTTTTTAAGAAATTAAATTTATTAACAGTGCCTAGTATTTATATTTTGAGTGCCTGTACCTTCGTCAAGCATAATTATTCACTATTCAAACGACATGAACCTTTATATAACACGAGGTTTCCGGACAGACTTACTGTACCGGTCAACATAAAAAGAGAAGTGTATCGTCGTAACTGTTTACCTATGTGTGTCAAAATATATAATTCGCTACCGATTGATTTAAAAAATACGCCAAATACTATGTTCCGAAATAGGTTATCCAAATGGTTGTCTAACTGTTGTTTTTACTCAATTGAAGAATTTCTTGACTACAAAAATAATTAGGTTTAAATTTGACATTATTGAGACTCATTATTTTAAATGTATAAGATATTTTAATAATTATGATAGATATACTCATTTTAAGGTAAATTTGCATGCTATTACTAGCTAAGTGTGAGAACCTGTTAATAGAAATATTATATATTAAGCCAACTATGTACACCACACTTAATGCGAATAAATTATTGTTGTTGTTGCTGTTGCTGTTGCTGTTGCTGTTGCTGTTGCTGTTGCTGTTG